GTTTTGTCAAAGCAAACACCGAAGCGGAACAAGACCCCCTAACTCAAAAAAATAAATTAGGCTACAACGAAAAGGGGGACGGGGGTGTCTAGGGGGAACCACTTTCTTTCCTCTTATCATTTTTAACATTGGTCGAAAATGTAAACATATTTAGTTTCACTCATTTTTTCACAATTTTGAAAAACTTGTTGAATCTTACAAATTTATAAATGTTTTGACAAATTTTTATAAGATTTGAGTCTTTAAAAATATTAAAAAGCTTTTTGAAAGGTTTGAGAAAGAAATAAGGCTTCTGAAATGGGTTTAAAAATCCTCTTTCAAAAGAAGTTTTATTTGTGTTTTCGTCACAGTAAAATCGTATTGTATCGGACTCAACGATACAGATACAATATGACCTCGATACAAGGAATAGATACGACACGTTCAATTTGGTACCATGTACCATGTCAAAAACTTGCTAGAGCAATATACGTGACGAAATTTTGAACCTTGCACCCACCCCAAGAAAAGGGCGACAACAATGTAACGGTGATGGTTGGGTTGGATTTCTTTGGTTATTAAGATAATGAGTTTAAAACCGTCCGTCTAACGGAGCAAAGCAACCATGGCAAATAGAGACACTGACTGCGTTTAAGCCCTTCCGATGGTCTTTGGTGCATCATTTTCAGCAGGGTCTCTTATCTGACTCTGTTACTTGCCGTTTTAAGCCAACTTGAGTTTAGTCCTATTCTTATATGTTGTGCTCAGCCTCAGGATCAGGAGGTACTCCACGTTCCACGTCCCCACCCACAGGAAGGAACAACTAATCAAAACAACTGCAAGAGCAATGACAGCTACCTGGCTCAGGGCCTGGTATTCAATCTACAATCCAGGAGGTGTATGTACGACACAAGGAGCACCGTCGGATTGATGGATTGATGATGTCTCACGAGATGGGTCCCTTCCCTTCACTTCTGGTGCAAATTGGATAATTCATACTCTTATTAAATTGTTTCTTTTTAATTTCTGGTACAAAAGTAGACAGCCTAGTTTCTTGTCGTTTTAATGGTGGATTGGTGACTAAATTTCGTCATTTTCAAGTCTTCCTTTGCAAAATAAATCCAAAACCGCTTCTCTATTCTTCAGAAACAAAACCAGCTTCCTCAAATCTTTCACGCTTGGCAAAACCACTTCCACTTGAAATCCATGGTGGTCGCAAAACTGCTATAAAAACACCACCCATCCCTCCTTCTTAACCTTCATCACTTCACTTCGCTCTTGATTTCTACAGTTCCTTTATAAATGGATTTCATTGTCTCTTCCAAGACCCATCCGACTTTCTCAGAGTCGGAAAAGATCGACTACTCTGGAGATCGAGAAGACCCTGAAACCCAAAACCCCATCACAAGCCGCCTGTATCTAAAACCCTCTCACGCCTCCGAAACCCTGGACAAAGACGACGTCCTTCGGCGCATCCGCCATCACAAGCGCGTAAACAAGGTCCAAAACGCTCTCCATGCGCTCCTAAGTTCGCCTTTTTCGGGAGGGGCAGATAATGCCCCCCTCCGCGAGCAGAGGTGGCTGGACGACGCTTTCTCTGCTCCGTAGTTGTCGGTTAGTTTCTTAGCCACTGTAGTCGCCGGGGCAACTTCTGTCAATTGCAGTGGCGGTGATGAAACGTTGGAGTTCGAAAAGATTATCTTTTCCGTTTGGGATTATTCATTATCGGTTAATTGGCCTTGTTGTGTCAGATTCCGGTGAAGGAGCGCACAGCGGAGTTTCCCTTCCCATTTGGATAATCTCATATCGGGAAATGTGAATTGGAGGGAGTGGGGTGGTTGGGTTCATTCTGATTTCTGAAGAGAGAGAGAACGTACCTTCTATAATTAATTAATCAACCGCAGTTTTGTACAGATAATGTAGAGCTACTGCTGTGCTGCTATATATAATTTGCCAAGATAGTGAGCTGTTTGGTTTGTCTATTTGTTTCTGTAGTAAAATTTGCGTTTTTTGGCAATTAAGGCTATTTGAGTTTAAATTAATTGTTCGTTATGCCGTAATTTAACTAGCTCATGCGCAACATTCTTCAGTTACAAACCAAGCGAAACATTTAATTTATTGTTCTATGTATTTCAATGGGCAATATTAGATCAAGAATTTAGAGGAAAGAAAAATGAAAAATGTAGTTATAACCCGTTGCTACCAATGGTATGTTTGATTTATATATGGAATTAGAATCACAATCACAATCACAATCGCAATCGCAATCTTTTGGAATCAGAATGGATCTGTTTCTTTAATATATTTGGTTAATACACAGATTAGAATAGGAATCGGAATCGGAAACATTTGATTCTGCAGGATAAGCTTTATAATCCTAACAAGCATTTGGAAGAGAATCTGTTACTCCGCTTCCAAGCCTCCCTGATATCAACAGAGGAGATGAAAACATGTCAGTCCAACTGTATACATAGACACGAATGGCTGAGCGCACAAAGAAGTCTATCTCTGAGCTGTGTTCAATGGTTGAGCTGACAGAGTTCTTCAATCTCAACGCCACTTGGAGCCAATACTGATTTCTCACGCCATACCTTTCCTGATTTTTAAGACTTGGTCTGAGAAAGTGTTTTTCGAAAAAATGCATAACCAAATATGAGACATTGTGTGGAAAACAGATTTTAGAGTGACATAGCACCGTTTTTTCAAGAAAACTGCATCAATTAATTCCAAAAGCTGTTAATGCTTAGAGACATTTTCCCACTTGGATAAAGCAAGACTTCCATTCCATCTAAGGGTGTCAATGGATCGGTTTTGGATTGGACCCCATCCAAATCAAAATTAATTTAGATGGATTGAATTGGACCAATCCAGACTTAGTGATCCAAAGTATTTATTGCAATGGATTGGATCTGATCCATTGTAATGAATTTATATTGGATTGTGTTGGATTAAGCCGATATCTGGTCCATTGATATAAGATAAGAGTACAAGTGTCAATGAATGGAGTTGAATTGAAACCGATCTAAACTAAAACAAATTTAAACAGATTGGATGGTCCAGACATTAAATTAAACCGATCCAAAATATTCATTGGATTAGAGCTGATCAATTTGTAATGGATTCACATACACCCCTAATTCCATCCACGCCAGGGTGGATGCTTCTTGTCACGAAGTATTGTTCCTCTTAAACTGAGGTGATCATGAAACATTTTCCCACTCAAAAGTAAATGCTTATTAAAGAATAGTGACACTTACTGGCCTATCCAACGAAAATAAAGTAATAATTTGGGGATAGATTAATAAAAGAAGAAATAGAACACTTCATAAGATTCACAAATGACAAAAGAACGACCAAAGAACATAACCAGATTACCCAACTACCGAATCAATAATACAAATTAACTATTTGAAATATACGACTCTATTTGGAATGCTTACATAGGAAAAACAATACCCTACTTTGTGAGATAATATTATAAAGTACCGTTTACACTACCGACCCTGGCCCCATTTATTGAAATTGAACATTCAGAAAGTTCATGTCTGTTAATTAAGCATTTCAGTGCTTAGAGCATAAACTTCGGACAAGCATATGAAAGTAAACTAGAAGTTGGTACCATTTTTAATTAGCGGTGAGAAAAGTGGTTGAAATTACTTGTTGTCGTTGTACGTATTACGTGATCCGCCAGGCAGTAATTTGTAGGGTGCTTTTTTTGGATTTTGAGAGGGGGGAATTGACCAAGAAACTCATATTTATTTTTCAGTTTTATGTGAAGATCAGTGAAAGTTTATTTTCTTGGGTATCACTTACCTGGATAAGTGGTACTCCTCTCCTAGGTGAATAAATTAACTTTTCTCATTTAGGGGAAAATTGCTAATAATTGGATAGGGCAAAAATACTCCTTTTAGTAATGAAACTTTTATAACTAAGATTGTCACTGTCTTATTTACATGGGAAATAAAAGAATATGGATAAATGCACTTATGGGGGTAAGTCTTTCCTAAAAAACACTTACCCCAAATAGTCAATTTTGAAAGAACTTATTATCAACCTCTTTCAGATATGAATATATCTGATTCAAAAGGAAAGAACTTGCATCAATATCTCAATTTCAGTTCAAACAGGGGTTTGATTCACACTCCATGTTTCAGAAATATTTACCATCCGAAGTGTATTTACCTGCGTAAGCGACTTGTTTTGTCGAAAAGAAAACAAGGCAGTAGTGTTATATCAAAAGTTCAAAATTTTGTCACATACTTGTCATAATCAGGGTTTCAGGGGTAACAAGGCTTTTACCGACCCCTGAATATGTTTGAAAGAAACTAAAAAATAAATGTGTTAATAAAAGGTCCGAGACACCCAATTCGGCATATTAATACTTTGAACCTGGTGTTATATTAAAAGAATTTAAAGCAAGTTTATAGAATATTTAAAAAGTTGCTAAGACTCAAACAATCTCTAGATATATGCTTAATTACAATTCAAAAGATCAAGTTGCATTGTTGTGATCTGAGTGAGAATCTTGCCTTAAGCACTGCTAGAGTTTTAGGGTCTCAGATGTTTGCAGCACTGTTTTCAAAACCGGACCGGACCAGACCGGAAAAACCAGGAACCAGTCACCTGACCGATTCCGCTTTCCTCCAAAACCGTTCGAGCGGTTTTGACAGTTTTTTTATTTTTTTATTTTTTTCATCAGAACGGGCCAGCTGTTCGGATTGAACAGTCAGACCATTCAAACCGGTAAACAGACCCCTGACCGGTTCGGTCACCGGTTCGTTTTTAAAAACCATGGTTTGCAGAGTGCCCATTTCATATGGGAAGGCCTTACAACTCCATTATGAGATGGGAATCTCAGGCTTCTGAGTTTTGAGCTCAATTCTTCATTTTAGCAATTGGTGGATTTCACACATGAATACTAACATAATGGTGAGCCTATGAAGTAATTGAAAATTGGAAACTTTAACACTTCAATCCATTAAATTGTCTTGTGAAATGTCTTTGTTGGAAACCACTTTGCATCTGTCTGAACCCAAGATAATACATTTAACTAATTTCACTTGAATCAAGGTATAGATATACAAGTGGATCCAGAACCTGTAAGAAGAAACCTCCTCTAATATTCATTATTTTAAAAGAGCCTTCTCTCCCAAATCTTTCTAAATGGCAATTAATAGGCAAACAAGCAATACCACCACGATACAAGTGTGATTACACGATGATGATACATATCGGGAATCAAAATTAACAGAATATTGAAATTTGAAACCACCCCATAGCCTTAATCTCTTTTTGGTCTCTACTTCAAAATCATTCCCACTTTTTCCTGATCACCAACACTACTTGAAAATATGAGAAGCAACGTTAGCATTGCAAATATAGCTGCGCTTCAAGGAAGAAGAAGAGTGTCGTGCTATGACTAACAATAAAAAATAATAAAAAAAACTTAGCACTTTCACTTCTTGTTTAGCAAACCGCATGTTGATAGGAGGCGTAATGCTTGGTTAGAGTTGTTTAAAACCGCAGATGATCTTGAAACCTGCATTTTCCTTTGTTTCAAGAATTCCAAGGAGTTTTGCAAGCATTGAGCAGGTGGTATGTCCTTCAATATCACAGGTTCTGGCCTGCAAATCATTTTCGATAGAAGATGATCTAAGATCAATTACAGAATTGTCAAAGACCCAATATAGAAAAGCAAGAGCACAGAAAAAGGTTTTTTACCCAGAGCCTTTTGGCTTTTTCTTTTTTGGGGTAACTTTTCCCTCGAGCTTCTCTTCATCAGAATCTGATAGGAAGACTTTCCTGCACAAGGAACTGATGTTGGAGATGCTCTTCCATATATATGATAGCCTTACACGCACACACACATGCATGTCTGCACACACACACACACAAATACAAACACAGAGTAGCATACTTCTCACGAGCTGCAAGCAGATTAACAATGTTGTTTGGAAGCATTCCAACAGTATCCTGGACCTCCTGAAGTGGTTCAGATTCTGTTGCATCTTCTACGGTTTCATCAACTTCTGCTAGTTGTTGAGTTCTCCTTTGGGCCCACTTCCTCCGACGTTCTTTGCCTTCTCGAGCAATTCTAGAAAGAAAGTGGAGGCTAATTCAGATCAGAGAATAAAGGAACAACCAAACAAGACATTACACAAATAGAATATCTATGCACATACTATTTTCAGATTAGAAGTTACATTAAATACAAATTTATATTTTTATAATAACGAAATACAAATTTAATGATAAAAAAAGAAAGCAAAGTCTTATGCTCTAGAAACATGAAAATAAGACTCGAGGAAAGTAATAATCATGTGGAACCCTTTACAATTAGAAATTCTTTACTTCTAAAAAGTGGGGCTTTCAGTGAAAATAGTGGCACCCCCACTACCTTGTCAAGACTTTTCAAGTGCATCACATGCCCAGGGAAACAGATGACCATAGTTGTCAAGGCAACGCCTAGGCGACAAGGCACCCTTGGAGGCTTGCCTCACCTGGTCACCAAGCAGTTTTGTGCACTGTGTTATAAAATATATACTTTTAATTTTTGACATTATAATTATTAAACTAGAATATTCATTTTATGTGTTTATATACTAATTTCTTTTTATTATTTTCTTATTTGTTAGGGTTTAATCAACACAAACATTGCAAACTGCTGTATTGAACCCATGGTTCAAAGTATCGATACACCTCTGTGTATCGGTGCTTATAATGACACTCCCCCTATTTTTCTATTTCTTTGGTTTTCAATTTCATCTTTAAATATATATTATTTAAAAAAAAGGGTCCCCTATCCCAAAGACACATACAATACACCTGACACAGGGTGTATCGTATCAAAATTTTGATCCTTGATTGAACCCTCAAAGATTTCAAAACCTGAACCAGTAAGCAAGGGAAGAACTTAGAATTTTGTCTAATCAACTGTCAACACATTTTCTTCTTCCACCTTATCTTTTCTTCTTTTCCTATAACAAAAGTAGGGGTTCAGCCCCTACATTTTTTGAATTTTCTTTCCTTTGTTCTTTTTCTTCTCATAAAATGTTGATTTTCTAGACTTAAACATGAAATTTATAATTCTCTTATGAAAATTATGGATAATTATCAAGGAAAGATGATTATGAAACCTAGGGAACTACCCTAGGATATATGGTTTTACGTAAAAGAAATCCATCGCCTAGGCGGGTGCCTAGGCGACAAGGCGCCCCCCTGTCGCCTAGCCTTGCCATGGTGCCTTGAAAACTATGCAGATGACTTGGTTAACGAGGTAAACTTTGCTAAAGGGCCAATCTGATTAGAATATCCCCGAAAGGGGGAAGCTTTTACTTGATTCTTTGAGCTTCCATAGGTTATTCTTTGACTACCACAGAAAAATCCCAAATGATTTCTGATTTCAATGATATCTTCTCTTCCTCATCTTGTCTATTTAATGCTTTGTTCTCTCACCTCGCAAAAACCAACAACGACACTGAAGAGAATATTGATTTTATCTTATAAGCACCACCTGCCCATTCAAAAGATGCTTCAGGGTTGCAATATGAACATTTCTTTCCTTTATATTCTTCTCTTTTTTTTGAACATTTCTTTGCAACAAAACAAGAGGAAAACAAGGTGCTTGAGAAAATCAACCTGTGCACTGCATAACCTTCTCAAGCAACCTACTGGTCAATGGAAATTAACATAAATTCCACCTAGACACAATTTCCTGCTCATCATCTGTAGCTAATGGTAACCTGTTCAAATATCATATGCCAGAACTTGGTAAGAACTAGTTATCTGTAAATAAATGTGTCATCCACTTTTTTTGAGTAATGAAAATTATTTTATCAAAGATTAAATAAGAACTGTTACATAATACAACATTAAATATCCATAAAGAGGCACGAGTTGCAGCCTCAAAGGCAAAACAAGCTTACAATTGAGCCCATAATAAGTGATCCCTATCCCCCTAAAGGACCAAGCTACCGTCTCTGGCTCCTTCAACCATCCAACTACTAGTTTAGAATCACGTTCAATCAGCAACCTCCCAAAGTTCAGCTCCTTAGCAATCTCTGCTCCCTGTAGAACTGCTTGAACCTCTGCATTAACCGCATTCCCCACTCCAATTGGACCAGAGAACATGGCAACAATTCTGGCCCTCTGCATTCCTAAAGACTCCTCCAATAGCAGAAGGCCCAGGTTACTGAGGCTGCTATCATCAAAGTGAATGTGTCATCCACTTTCTCCCTTGGTACCTAGGCATCGCTCTCCAAACCCCCAAATCTCCTCTTAAAAGAACCATCCTGAAATCTAAGCTAACCAAAATTAATCCCTCCTTTTTCGATAATTAAAAGGAGAGAATTGTATTTATATCAAGAAAGTAATCTCCTTGATAGTTTAGTCCTCTTAAGATAACTGTTAGCTGCAGTATAAAGGGTCGAGAAGGCAAAGGAGTTGGGCATTGATAGTCTAGCCATTGAGGGTGATTTGAGAACCGTTGTGAAATGGCTGAAGAAAGGGGAGGGAGTGACATGGCACCTCAGGAATGATTTCAGGTGATTTAAATGGTTATCAAAGGACATGACAATCAGAGTTTAAGTGGGTGAGAAGAACTGCCAACAGCTTGGCAGATGGTCTAGCTAAGCAAGGGGTACAAAGAACTCAATTGTAATATCTGGGTTGAGTCAGCTTTCTATAGCTGTGTTTTTCCTTTTTTCACAACCTCTTGTTGTATTCATGCCTGTTTTTTATTAATGAAATCAATTCTGTGTTGCTGATCAAAAAGAACAAAAAAAAAAAGAAAGTAATCTCCTTGGAAAATCCAAAAGAATATGTTTCTCCCATCCCTCCTACCAAGTTGCTAATTAAAAAACAAAAAAAAAGGAAAAAGAAAATCCAATTTCACATGAACTGCCTCTGAGATAATACTGCAAAGGTAGTTGTACTACTAGGAAGAAAGAAAATAAAAGAAAATCCGAATAGAAGACCTTAGCTCCCAATGCCCGAAAGTGCATTCAATACAGCCTCCCCTTCAAGGCCTTTGTACAATAGGTGGTGAAGGTGATCCCACTGGTGGATTCTGATCAAAGATCTATTGACCTATTTTCTATAAGGTAAACAATTACAGACCCCACTAAGCCACCAACAACAATGAGCAATTTAACTATCCTCTATACATGTTCTCAATGTGTTAAAATGGAGAAGAAAAACACAAGGCTAAAAATGAACTGCTTGCTGCTGATAAAAATAAATAAAACAAGAACTGCTTTGCTTGGTAGAATTTAGAAACACCAATAAAATTGAAAAATAGAGAAAATAAAGAAAAACAGAACAGGAGATAGGGGAGCGAGCTGAGGTAACCACTTTCCCCCTTTTAAGAATTCACTGTATCAATTGAAAGAAAACGTGAACAGGAGATGGTCAGCAACTATATGTTAACAACCCCATACAGTTGGGATAAGGCTTGGATGATGATGAATTGAAAGAAAAAGGAGGAAGCTGCCTATGCAGAATTACAAAGTATAACCAGTCATTGTAAAGGAACATATGTTACACGGCAGAGGTATAGGACTTGGGAATAGGATTTAGGGGCTCAGCTGCTATATTTTAGGGCCTGTTCGTTTGCTCTGAAGTCTAACATCCGAAAGTGCAATAATTACATTAAGAGTAGACCTGTTCATGGGTCGGGTAGCCCGATGGCCCGGCCCGCACCCCGGTCGGGCTTGGTCATGTAATTAGGCCCGCGGGCCTAACACAATAAGCCCGACTGTGTTTCGGGCCGGGCTCAGAATTTGTCAAAAAAGCCCGGCCTGACCCGACTTAGCATTATATATTTTATAAAATACATAATATGTATTTTATATATTATATAAAATATATAAATAATATAATATTTATAATTTAATATATACATTTTTTATTTTTTTCTTTATAATTTCTCTCTCTCTCTCTCTCTCTCTCTCTCTTCAGTCGCTTTAGCAGTAGTAACAGCATGGGCTAAATTTCTGGCTCGGGCCCAGGCCCGGGCTTCGGGCTTTTTATGAGAGTCGGGCTTAGGCCCAAGTTGTAGGCCCGATGGTTGGGCCGGGCTCAGGCTTGGGCTCGGGCTCGGTCCTTAGAAAAATTTATTAATACAGAGTGAAAGCCCAGCCCGAGCCTGGCCCATGAACAGGTCTAATTAAAAGGTATATTGGTATTGGTGAACTTTTCTTTCCTCTGAACTCTGAATGCAAAGAATGTTGTTCTGAATTCTGAAAATTATCAAATATCCATTTTGAGCCCATATATGAGAGTTTTTGTTTGTCTTTTGGGGGGTATCATTGGAAAACAAAAAAAATGTATGACTGCACTTTAAGAGATAAGAGATAAGAGGAAACGAACAACTGTTTTTCTCTTAAAGTTAAAAGATTCCTATTAAGAGATAAGAGTTAAGAGAAAACAAACAGGCCCTTAGTTTCAAGTTACATTTTTGAAGTATACTTTTATGTTGTATAAATAATAGGATATAGGATAATTGTTAAAAAAAAATAAAAATTAAACAGATATTCATAAACCAATGCAAATAACTCTAAGAAAACACATCAAGTATTACAAATTTACCATGAGAATTTAAGATTGTTTCATCACATATTACAGGTGCCATCATCATCTAAGCTTTATCCCAACTATAAGGGGTCGGCTTCTACATATTACAGATATGACAAAGAGAAAAGTCCCCTTAGTGCAAGTGTCTGATGCATGTACAACAACCATTTTTAAGTGTCCATACAATATAGAAAGGGATCAGCCCTAAAGATAGGCCACAAAGAGAAAGAGATCTGAAATTATTCAGTCCCATTCAAACACAAAATCAGAGGACCGAGAAACTATGAAGCCCCACTACAATATCCAGCAAACTTCCTTCACCCTTTTCAACTCTAACCACAGGATTAACGAATACCAGATTTCTCTAAAACGCGATGTGGCAATACCTCACCTTGAGGACGAAGGGGCAATGGAATAAAATGGATACCAATTCTTCCTTCTTCCCACACATAGAGCACACATTTGAATATTGAAAATATATTTCTATATGTTTTCATTAACCAACGAAAAAAAAAAGATATTTCTATATGATGATCTTACCCAATAACCCAAAGAGTAATCCATATGAAAAAGACTAAGGTATATGGGAGCTCCAAGTAAATCTAGCAGCAAAGGACCATCCTCCCTCTCCACTTAATTGGAAGATAGGCACATCAAATGAAATCTTCCCACATGTTCAGGTTGGTATAAGAGATGAAATTGGCTTGATGGGATAAGAACATGAAGTATTTTCCATGTGATGGGAAATATATAAAGAAAGAACAACCATCTTTTACATATAGATATTAGTTGACATTTCAAAAGAAAATGCAGACTAGAAATTTAAAAGATAGCTCAACTAAAGGTCTTCCCTAAAGATAACCTTGTCACCTTTCCAGTTGCTGCATTTAATATTATGTGTGTGTGAGAGTGAGAAATGGGGGAGGGGAGAGTGAGGGAAGGGGGATGACTGCATTTGAAGCAGCTTCTTGGAACATGTAGAACATATTTTATGATTGGATATGCTGACTGGCTATGTTTTTATCCTATGGGAATTCTGGCTTGTTTCTCTTTTGACATCCCCTCTGGATTTTACACTGAAATCTCTCCTCACTTTTCTTATAAATTCTCTTCATCTATCAAAACAAACAAATGGATAAATAAACTAGTTCAAGAATGTCAACATGGAGGAATATGATGTCACCTTAGGTGATTTTACTTAAAGCTCTAGACCTAGAATTGATAGTAAAATTAGGTTTGTATATATTGTTAAAAAAAATTAGATTTGTATATGGGATCAGATTAGAAGGACCAATTGGATATTTTTTCTTTTTTGAAAGGTAAGGTAAAAATTTTATTGAATAAGAGAAAAAAGGATACAACAGCTTCCTGGCCAGTGGAGGCTTAGCCAGGAAAGAAAAAACGCCAACTTACAGATTCACAAGGACTTAGACTTAAGCAGCTAAGACACATTCAGAAGGACCAATTGGACAATAGAGATAGAGAAATTTGTTCTAATTATTTTGAGTGGAGAAAATCAAGGATGATTAAGAAAACTCATAATTAAGAGCAAAACATCAAAATTGTGCATGGAGGTCTCCTCTCTATTATTTTTTTGATCAACAAAACTAAGGTTTTAACCATTTACCCATTACACTCAAGTGCCCTCTCCATTATCAGTATCAGTGTTTTAAAAGGCATGGGAGGCGTGGCGAGGTGCCCCCAAAATGCCCTAAGGCATATGCCATAGGCATTGGCATTGATACCTCTAAGGCGTATGCCTTAGGTACAAGAGGTGTACGCTTCATATGCCTTTTTCATGAGGTGTGCTAGAGCCATATGCCTCATGCACCTCACACACACCTCATACAAAAAGACAAAAAAAAAAGAGAAAAGAAAGGAAAGGGAGAGAAAAATAAAAGTAGAAAGAGAAGAAAAAAAGAGAAAACAAATAAAACAAAAGGAAAGGAAAGGGAAGGAAAGAGAAGGGAAAAGAAAGTGGGTCGGGGCTCCAGCCTTGGATCCCCTTGGCTGGGTAGCGAAGCCCAACCCCTTTCAACTAGTGTTATGCATCTTCATTCTTCATTCTTCTTAATATAAAAGATTTTTATTAAAAATAAAGAAAAATGAGATCCTCCTTCCTCTTCTTCCCCCTCCCCCTCCTTCCTCCTCATCTCCCTCCTCTTAAGGAAGTTTACGTTTCTTACATTCTGAAGTCTGAACTATGCCTCACACCTCCAAGTAGTGAAATGCTTCACGTCCTCCATGTTCCCTAATTTGCAAGATTATAAGCATTTTATTCATCTCCCAAGGACACCATCTAGCCCAAACATCAAACTTGCAATGTTTTCCCATGTATTTTCTTTCTGAGTACATTCTTTCCCATGTGTTAGGCATCAGGAGCCATTGCCTAACCATTTTTTAATGAATGGAATTATTGCCTAATTATTGGCACCATTGAATAGGGGTGCTCCACTGAACTGTGGGCTATTTCTTAAACTGAACCGATACTACCGGTTTTGGTTAGTGGGTTTTTTTTACGCTAACCAAAAACTGAACTGGTCCTTCAGTTTTTCAAAAATACCAAACTGAACCAGAACCGATTGGTTCAGTTTTTCGGTTTTTTATGAGCACCCCTACCATTGGATAGCATTAGCAGAGTTGCCTTCAATGACTAATTACTTGACAATTTGAAAACCCATTAAGAGAATGTAGGCTTAATTCAGAAACAAAAGACCCTAAGATTTAGTACTAGGCAGGTTTGAACCACCTAAATTTCTGATGAAGGGAAACCACAAACCATTACTATCATGTTTCACCTCTATGAATCTGTCTGCTAGGGAAAAAGCAAATCCTAATTATAAGTTAGAGGTTATTGTGTATCAAAAATTAAAGAAAACAGTTAATCTTTGGGGTATGTAGATATGGCATTATGCAGTGATCCAACCTTTCTTTCTTTTCACCATGGATCATTACTTTATTCATTAATACCATTAGCACAGCTTCCCTTTTCTTGGATCTTGTCAAAGCAACATTACCAATAAGTAGGCTATCGATATCTTCAAACCCATCCATAACTTTGCACTACCTTCGATTTTTCATTGCATCTAACCTCATCATCATCCCACAAGCATCTAAACCTTGTTGTTGTACTCTTTCAAGACGGTCCAATCAATGCATGGAGACTGTATGACACTAGGTGCACAATATACCGCATTAATTTCAACTTCCATCTCTTCTGTACTCTGATACTAGAACGATGCCAATTGGAAGGTAATAAACCTAAAAAAAGTGTAGTTGTAAACGGGGATAGAGATATAACATGTAAGGTTATAACAGCTTCAAAAGGATGATGAGATTATTATGTTATCAGGTTCATTTAAACCGCTCATCCACAGACTCGAAGCAACATCTCATCGTTCCTAATAGCTGCATTCAGGAGAGACTTTATTAAATACTAAAAGTTTCTATATCGATGTCCAACGGAATATCGTTAAAAATAGCTAGACCATAAAATTCAAGTCAACAGAATCCAAAATGATAAACCAAAGCATAAGCAGGAAAATAAAAGCATCCAAAAAGACAACAGGAGCAACTATCGTAATACCTGGTTTTGTTTTCCCTCTGGACTTTTCTGATCTCTTCATCCTGTTTAATGCCCTGTATTGGAAAGAAGATTGCATACTTAAGACCTCGGTTAAGAGAAGAAACTTACCAAACTTTATCGAAAAACAAAAGATTTTCCGTGCATACATATATACTCTGATAAAAACAGAAATTAATAACAAGATAGAATTTCATAGAGACAGTGGGAAGCCGGACAAACCTGCTCGGAGGTGAACTCCTCGGGCGCATCGGAGGAGTCGTCATCCCTTTCCGACATCGATTCCAAGCTTTGCTCAGTTGTCTTTTTTTGTTTTCCTTTGCTTCACTATGTGTGTAATTGAGGCGAGAGAGTTGCTGCAACTGGCGAGTAGGGTTTTTGACAGTTTCACAACAGAAAAGGAAGAGCTAGGCAGTGCGACTGTGTGAGGTATTAACCCTTAGGTCCAGTTAGGGATGGAGTGGATCAATTCAACCCGGATGGAGTGGGTCAATTCAACCCGGATAGTCGAATAGTCCAGTTAGGGATATGCTACTAACAAAACGCTTCCAATACTATTCCAACTAACCATTGCAGCCGTACATTGAGAACTATATCCGCATATACGGCTGCAACGGGTGGTTGGAACGTTGTTGGCATCATGTATTGATAGCTGATTGAAACTCGACCAATGAGAGTGTGCATTGTTAGGGTCGCACCATTGCCGTCGTATTTCGGGATTGATTGATGTCTTTGGCCATGTTAGTTGGATATCCTGTCACACGTCGCAACAGTTCTATGTTGTCGATAAGCACATGTGTCAAAGATCATGAAATTGTCCGAAGACCTCGATCGCCGGTCTACTTGTTTGAGCGTTGGGATCTCTACAAAGAATGTGACCGAATGCACCACAACACTCGACTATTTAAAAGCACTTTCATCGAGGTATCTCTCTTCAACCCTTGGTCTCTCTAACCTCCCTTCTGTTCCCCTATTCTCCTCAATGTTTCGGCTAAGACCAATTCATTGCCAATAGCTTGGTTCGATCAACCTTTTCATATTTTATTGACTTGAACATCGAAATGTCTTACCCGGGGACCTCTTCCTTAACACCTTTGATTGTATTTGGTTGCAGGTTTCTACTTAGTGCACTACCTCATGACTAGACTTATTCATGGGCCGGGTAGTCCGATGGCCCGACCCGCACCCCAGTCGAGCTTGGTCATGTAATTAGGCCCGCGGGCCTGACCTCGGGCCTAACACAATAAGTCCAACTGTGTTATGGGCCGGACTCAGAATTTGTCAAAAAAGCCTGGCCCAAGCTGAGCATGGTCCAGCCCGACTCAGTATTATATATTTTATAAAATACATAATATGTATCTTATATATTATATAAAATATATAAATAATATAATATTTATTGAAATATATATTTATAATTTAATATATACATTTTTTTCTTTATAATTTCTCTCTCTCACACACTCTCTCTCTCTCTCTCTATTTAGTCGCTTCAGCAGTAATAACAATATGGGCTAAATTTCGAGCTCGGGCCCAGGCCCGGGCTTCAGGCTTTTGTGAGGGCCGGGCTCAGGCCCAAGTTGTAGGCCTGATGGTCGGGCCAGGCTTGGGCTCGGTCCTTAAAAAAATTTGTTAATACAGAGTGAAGAGTGAAAGCCCGGCCCATGAACAGGTCTACTCATGACTAGACCTATTCATGGGCTAGGTGGCCCGACGGGTCGGCCCGCCCCCCGGACGGGCTTGAACACACATTTGAGCCCATAGGCTTGACCTCGGGCCTAAAAGCCCGAATCTGACTATGTTGCGAGCCGAGCTCAGGATTTGTTAAAAAAGCCCAACCCAGCCTTACCTATAGGTTAAATAAAAAAACCCTAATATCCTAACCCCTCTTCTCATTCATCTCTTTCTTGTCTAAGCCAGTTAGTCGAACCTCTTCTCAATTTTCACAGTGACTCACAACCTCACACTCTCAGGCAAATACAGAACCATCAAACACTCACCCGCGCAACCAGTAAACTCCAACAGACTGACATGAGTCTTTTCTCTCTCTCTCTCTCTCTCTCTCTCTCTCATTCATCTCCTCAGTTCTCACTTCTTCTCTCTCAAATTTCAAACGCGAACTCAAGCACCAGTGGCGGCGATGAGTCCTCTCTCTCTCTCTTTCAGACACGAACTCAGCACCGACGAACACAATCACCGGTGATGAATCATTTTTTCTATTAGGTTGGGCATCGGGCTTGGGCCCGGACTTTGAGCTTTTTATTAAGGTCGGGCTCAGGCCCATATTATAGGCCTATTGGTCAGACTGGACTTATGCTCGGGCCTAACAAAATCTATTTATGAAGACTAAAAGCCCGACCCGGCCCATGAAGATGTCTACACATGACTCATCCTTTCACCTTCTCATCCAAGTTAGTAGAACCTTATTTGCTGCACTTTGGACCACATCAATGATAGTCATCTCCCCTCTAATCCCAACCGGGTAGGGATATGCTACCAACTAAACGCTCTCAAGAGACGCATGAATAACAATTGACACGTGAGAGGTTCCCAATGCACGGCTGCACCAGCTGTTGGGACTTGTGTTGTGACACCGGTTCGTCTGGTTTTAATTGTTAATCCTTCCGGATCCGGGTTCGTGATATTGCGTCGATTCTTTTCCTTCTTTGATTTTTGGCGAAGATCGATGGACTCCTGATTCCTGAAGGCTGAAGCATTGGCGCACAAGGAGAAGCAATACCTCAAACGCGAAACAACTATTGATATAGTAAGATCGCGCGCAATAAGGAACCCGTTCACGCTAAACAACTGATAATATGGAATTCATACTCGAAGAAGGGAAACATCTCCACGAAGAATGTTCCACTCTTATTCTGGTATATCCAGTTTCCAATGCTTTCTAGATATTTTAGGGTTCCATTAATCTAGGGTTTATTGTTATTTGTTCTTCAAGAATGCCAAATGTAGTTAAAAGTTAGGGCTTTGATATGGTTCTCGTCATTTTCAGCCTGCATTGTCGATTGGGAACGTGGGGCAATTAGCAATAGATCTCTTGGTCTCTTCTATGGGAGCAGACAGAGTCGGCTATTTGGATGACCCCTTCGTTCTTCCCTGCGTCGGAAACGATGCCTATGGATCGGCTTCGAGAGGAGATCTTGCTTTGCCCCTTGAAGGTGTTCTTCTATTCAAGAATATTCCAGACTTTTTCTTTTTTCCTGTCTATTAATTTTGAAATTATTTTATTTTCGAAAAAAAAATTAGTATGTTCTGATTTCTGAAGGAAAGGTAAATATAGAAGTTGTTACTATCAAAGAAAACATATCAAATGTAAAACTGTGACCAAGTATAATGAGAGGCTGTACAGCACTATAAATTGTAACATGAAAGGCTATACTAAAATAACCGTAATGATCAAAATTAACATGGAAGTTAAGAAACAGGGAATATGAGACAGCCCTGAAAAGTGATTTCATCACCAGCCAAGTCCAAAGAGTGCCAGTTTTGTTGTTTACTACGCCATCCGTAGAACTGAGTTTGTTCTCGAATACCTGGGAATTTCTATAGTTCCATATCGCCCAAATAATTGCAGCCCAACGCCACAATTTTTTGAAGGGCTCCATATATTTCATTAGAGTTTGGTTTTTATTGCCCGGAGCTTTTAATGTTAATTACAATTCATGTTCGCATCTTGCAGTTGTAACTTTTAATAGAAAAGGAATCTAAGCGTAAGGTGTTCCACCATTCAATTGGGTCCCGTCTTGGATATTTGATGCCAAAATGTCTTCCTTATTGGATGACAATGTACATCCTGGTGATATTATTTCTACAATTCTACTTCCATCAGGACAAGTTTGAATGCATTTTTCTCATCTTAGAGTCCAAAATAGTGCAAGAAATCAGGATGTTTATGATTTTCGGTTTAAGTTTTAAACTTTCCTCAATGGGTCTTATCATGTGTCTCACAGGTAGCACCAAAAGGCCATTACTTAATGCTGGTTTCAATTATCTGGGGTCTTAGCCAGGGTGTTCTCATGCTTGTCGAGGAATGGTACCTTGACAGATTGCACCTCCCTGTATATGCTACAGTATGATGTGAATATGACCATCTTTACTGAGTCATGGTGGTTGTTTTCTTTTAGAAGAATGTATCTTGTTTCAGTTGGCTTTAAAAGTCATAATACTGGTTTAGCTATCTTATTGTTGGGTTAACTTAATTTCAAGCCATTAAATACATGGTTCAGTGTTGTAAAGCTAGTGCTTCTCTAACTGCTGCAGTCATCTGGTTGACAGCATAGAGTAATATTTATTCATAGAAAGAAGCACAGAGTAATATTCTGCTTCTGTCTTGCAGCATATGATTCTCCTTCTAATGCTTTGAGTCTAATCCAACAAAGGTCCCCACTTGTTAAGGTATTCTGTTCCCTATCATTTTTATAATTGCATATATGATGCCATAAGTTTATATGTGTGTGTGTGTGTGTATACCCACTGTTAGAAGGTAACACTTGGTTCTCCTCTGGCTAGCTAACACTTGGTTCCTCTCTGTCTTACTCTTGTAACGCTAAGTTCCACATGCAAATAAATGAACTTTCCTTCTATTCTCAGGTGTAGATTGTGTTACTTGTTCAGAATTTTTATTGGATATAATATCTCTCATAAAGGATATGACACCTACGGATAGACCAACAGATAGTTGTTATTTGCCTAGTTTTTCCAATGTTCAAGACTGTAAATTCTGCACTTAGATTTTCGTCTAATTTATTGCTCTATATTTAGCTGTTATTAATGTGGTAGAAAGTAAAGCTACCATGGGTTAAGAGCAAAGGGTAATTAGCATCGTCACAGGGTTATGAGCCTTTCTTTATGATTTTATCTTCTGTACCTTGTCTTGATGCTTTGAGTTCTTGAAAGAGAAGCCTGACTTCTCATGAATAATAACAGGGAAAGATGGTTGAATTTGCAAAAAGTTTGGCTGATTTTGCCATTTCTAGTAGGAAGAACCATGTTGTTGTGCTTTCTAGCTTGGATGCTGGAAGGAGGAAGAGAATTGACATGTCAAGGTTAGTCTCAAGAATTCATGATTATCTTAACCTTCAGGTTTGTGTTTGTCTTGCTGGTGATTTTTGTTTTTCAGTTTGTCCATAAAAAAAACTTTGGTTGTCGTTTCAGTGAAATGCAAATATTTTATCTCTCAAGTACCCACAAGGATGGAACAGATGATCACTGTGAAAAGATGGGATGGAAGAGACTGCAGGAATACAACCCTACTGAAAGGAAATGGGAGTTTCTCAATGATCTAGCTGAGGGAAAGTTCATTGATGAAGGAAATTGGCCTTCTGAAGATGAATTGATTGACGAAGATTACTACCCAAGTTTGCCATTTGCTGCACTCTTCTCTTGTTTCAAGGTATGTTTTGGAGCCCAACAAATTTTTATTTTTATTACAAAAAACTTGGGAAGCCTCTAATTGAACCTAGCCCCCCATCTAACCTGATCCTGTTTATATGCATATAAAGATCTATTTATGGTTATATACAAATTCACACACACACACACACACCACATACATAAGCATGTTACATATATTTTTCGATGGATGACAATAACATTTATTAGATTATTGAAAAACAATATATTCAATGTGCCCTGAACCCCATTTCTGGTTTATCGTGTGTACAATTATCCTCTTGAAAGATAACTTCTAGATATTAAGGTGGCATTTAGTAATGTTCTGCTGGAACATTTTTGGTGTCCTCGGGAGGACAAAATATTGCATTTTTGTTCCCATAACACCCAAAAAAAGCTCCACAAAATTCCACCTAAGTTTCTAAGCTATAAATAGCTTGCCAACCATGTATTTTGTAGTCTCTGTCTGCTGCGAATAGTTTGTAGAACTGTAATATGTCTCAGATCAATATTGTCTTATGATAGCCTCTTGGGTTATGGAATCAGGCTAAAGGTCTGAAGGTTACTTGCATCTTATGCTATTGCTCTGAAGGAGATAACGTACCAGATTCTTTCCAGTTGGCAGAGGCAACATGCAAACTTCTAGGGCTGAGCATTTCCAATTTCCATGGTGAGTTCTGCACATCATATTTGATCTTGTTGTCAAGACAGTGAAGTTGTGTCCCTTGTGAATAGAAATCAGATAATGACTAGACAACCACTTAATTAGTCTCCCACTTATACCTTGATATGCTTGCATTTGGAAAGCCACCTTCTCAGATGGAATACTTTAGAGGCTTGATGCCATGACCTCTCCAAGCATTAGGAGTGTGTTTTAGATTTAGGGAGTGTTCACCAGTATGTGTGATTTTGATTTCAAAATCATACATATTGGCAAGCACCCTTAGTTTAGAAGTTTTATATTGTCCATTCAGTCTTGTTTCGTGTATGCTTGACTCGAGAGGTAGTCACCAATTGAGGGGTATACTCATAAACTGGTTGACGACATGGAAAAGAGTGAGTCATGGTTCACTAAGGGGTGTGCTTGCCAATATGTATGATTTTGTTTTTTCAGAACAAGAATAACTGCCACATCGGCAAAAACAATATTATTTTGCTGATGTGGCAGTTGCTTTTGTTTTGAAAAAGAAAATCAAACTTATTAGTGAGCACCACCTATGGATTTCAAGAAGTTTGCAGTTAATGCATGAACATAAAGTAAGAAACTGCCACATTGGAATCCAAGGACACTAAAGGAGTCCAAAGGCAATAAGATTTGATTAAATGGTTAATACCTTAACATTTTAATCATACTCATTGGTCCTACTGGTTTTTTCAGGCAAGCAGGGTGGTGGATGGCTCATTCCGTTCTCATGGACGAGTTTGTATGGGCCACCTCCAGATAACTCACTTTTTTAGGCCAGATGGTTTTGATGATCCCCAAGGGTGAGCTTCTTTCAACTCTAATGAGGACAAATAGAAAATTGTTGGGTAGGGGCATCTTCAAACTAAACTTCGACACCATTGTATACCTGGGTGTCATAGAGTGACTTCTTCAGTTGTGCGCCCCCCCTTCGAAAGAATAAAAAAGGGAAAAGGAAGAAAGCAAAAGATATTGCATGCATGCATGCATGATCAAGAAAAGTTACAGTAAACCAGGCTATTCCAGGTGATGCATACATAACTTTCTTAATTCATGTTTAATCTAATTGTTTGAATCAAAATTCGGTATTATGAGCCTTCTTAAAGATTATTCTCTTGGTTTAATGGGGATTACTTTTATGACCTATTTCATATACCATTCGTTCTTGAGGTCAGTGAGTTTGTTTGAAGTTCTCAAGTTTGTGCCCCTCCCCCTCAAAGTACTCCTTTTTATTTATTTATTTATTTTTTTTTCAATTCACTGTTTCTAACTATGGAAGTTCTGGATGGTTAATTTGTTATTTATCAAATAAACAGACAGTTTTCGATTGTTAACCATATTAAAAAAAAAACTTTGGTCGAATTCCCAACATGCTAACATCCATAGTGGCTCCAGAGTCTAGAGCATGCCCTTCAGAGCTCATCCCTCGTAATTTTGACTGATATTTCTATTTTGCATGGTTTTCAAAACCGGACTGGACTGGATGATTGGACCGGAAAAACTGGGAGCCGGTCAGGTGACAAGTTTCGGTTTTTCCCAAAACCAGAATTTCTTCAAAAACTGTTGATTTTGGTCAGCAAATCGCTGACCTGGGCGGTTAACTGTTCGAACCGTTCAAATGGTTTTGACCGTTTTTTATTTTTTTGCCAGAATAGACCAATTGTTTGGTTTTAATGGTTGGACTGTTTGACCCGGTAACCAGACCCCTGACCGATTCGGTCTCCGGGTCGGTTTTAAAAACCGGGAAGATAAAGTGAAGTGGTAAGCTTGTATACGACCTGTAACCCTGTTGGAACATATAATTTCTTCTGATTGGACTGGGTTCAACCACGGAGAAGCTATTTACATTGGCAACCACGGAGAACATATAATGTCCCTCTGTATCAAGAAACAATGGAAAATAATACGGCAATGATTCTATTTGATATAAGTGTGGGGGGAATGTTTTTATTTTTTCCTGCTCGAGCTGCTGCTCTATTACTCAGTGTTTAGGGGTGAGCATAATTCGGTTAAAACCGAATTGAAATTTTGGTTTTGGTTTAATCGGTTTGGCTTAATCAGTTTTTTGGCTAGGTTTGGTTTTCTTTTTCGGTTTTTTTGTATTTTGGGTTTCGGTTTTGGTTATGAGACGATAAATCGATTAACCAAAACAGCCGATTTAATATTATAATTTATAATTTATAATTTATATTAATATTTAATGAATTAAGACTCTTGTGTCTCGTCTCGTCTTCTAGTTTCAGACTAGAGTCCAGATTCTCTAGAGTCTAGTTCATCTCTTTGATCGTCGTGGCTGTCGGATATCAATTCAGTTTGTCTCTTTGACTGTCGTGGCTGTCGGATGTCACCGGCTCACCCAACACCGGTAGGAACACCTTACACGAAGTCACGAACGGTGTTGACTCGTCGAGTGTTGCGGCTGCCGGTTGCAGTTGTTGGGCTGCATCTTCTTCAGTTCGTCTCTTTGACCATCGTGGCTGTTGGATGTCAGTTCAGTTCGTCTCTTCGACTGCCGTTGCTGTCGGACGTCACAGGCTCACCCAGCACCAGCAGGAACATCGAACACGAAGTCACGAATGGCGTTGACTCGTTGTCGAGTGCCGCGGCTGCCAGTGTTGCTGCTGTACTTCATCTTCCTCAATTCCTCCAGGCTCCAGGCTCTGGTCCTCTTCTTCTTCTTCCTATGCTCCAGGCTTCGAACACGGATGGCGTTGACTCGTTGCCGAGTTGTGCTGCATCTTTCAGGTTAAATAATTTTGGTTTTGACCGGAATATCTGAAATAACTAAAAAAAATCAGTTTGGTTTGGTTTATCATATAGTTAAATCGGTTTTTAAAATTTGGGTTTTTTCGGTTTGGTTTTGAGCCAAAAAAAACTGATTGCTCACCCCTAGTTGCTTTAGTAGATCTACTGAGTGCTTACGAGAGCAAGTAATTCTTTGTTCTGAGCAAGGTTCAAAATATCGATATGCAGGTGTATCAGATAGTATCGATTACTATCTTTTTTAGTTTTTTTTTTTTTCAAATCTGGTTTAGATGGGCTGGTCCATTCTTAGTTTAGAGCATCCAAAGACTCAAAGTGGTTTTGAAAGCGTGAAGGCACAATTAACACCATAATTAGGATCATATATATCTTTCTAGCGGTGGCAATTGGGCGGGTTGGGTTGGGTTTGGTTTGGGTTGATCTTCAACTCAATCCATTTAACCTGCAAACCTGTTAATGACACAGTTATATAAAATTAAATGGGTTGGTTTCAACCCAAACTCGCTTTAACCCAATGCAATCCACCCAAACCCATTAATCTTATATTTATGTACTTAAAATAAAAATAACTCCTTAATAACAAATAAGTTGGCCATAGCTTGGTGGCAATAGTAGTTGTTATTTATACAAGTGGTGAAGGTTCAAATCACATTACATGCATGTTATTTTTACACAACTAGCAAAACCATTTAAGATTTAACTATGTTTGGGTTTCGGATTTGACAAACCACTTAGGTTCAAATTGGTCAGACCAACTTGAACTATCTAATTGGATTGTCTTTAAGCTAATCACATCAAGAGTGGTTGAACTGTTTAGACCGGTTCAGTTCAGTTGGACTAGATTGGATCGGTTCAGTCAATGATGGATTGACTTGGGTTGACTCATATTAGGTTTGTGCACAGGTTTGGGACCGAATCGACTAGCTTGAAGCGAGTCAAGAAAAGTAAATCAGACTGGGCTAGATTTGGGTCGAGTTGTACGGATACGAAATAGACCAGATGATCCAAACCGAGCAAAGCAAGTGGGGTGGGTCTGGGGTTTGGACCCCACCCGGTTTGTTCCATTTTGGATTCAGGTCGACCTGAATCGGCTTGTACTAGTTTAGGTCGGATGTGTGAATGTTGGTTGGCTCGAACAACCCAAACTGGGCAAAGCAAGCGGTACCGAACCATCCTGCCTGGGGGTCTATTTTGGATTCGGGTTGACCCATATTGGTATATGTTGGGTCAAGTCAGACCACGTTGAACTGGTCCGGGTCAAAATGATTTGGATTTATGTTGGGTGAAGTGTGTTAATTCAAGAAAAAACTAAATTTAGTCAATAATTAATAGAAAATTAATGCATTAATTATAAATTATTTAATTCAAATAAAAAAAATTAACCTACTGATCTGTAATGGTTAACCTAATGATTATCTACAACTCAACTCAACCCATTTAAATGGATGGATTGAGTGATGAGTTGATCACACAACCCGCCAAATAAATGGGCAGGTTGGGTGAATTAGATACTGGATGGATTGGGTGGGTTCAGCGGATTGGGTGAAAAATTGCCACCCCTATATCTTTCAAAGTTGTCTCTATGTTGGCCTTACTTTTTGCGCGATGATCATTCCATTTTGGCATTGAGAGGTGCCTGCTTTATGAGTTCGTCAAACTCGGTCATGCCCGCTACAAATGTTCCATGGGCTATAAGTAGATCTAGAACCAAAAGGGAGGAGAGGGATATATCTGATACGGAGTAACAGTAACTTCCAATGAAGGTATTCACGCCCAAGGAGAAGACCAAAAACTGCTCCCACTGAAGATGACACAATGCGAGGTGAAGCAGAATCAGCAGGGTGACTCTTCAGCAAGAATCAAATTCTTCAGCAAGAATGCAGTAGAGGGTTGGTGAGCACGACTTCAGATTGCCTCTTTTACCAAGAAGCAATATCAAGAATGATTCCTGATCACTCCCACAGGTGGAGATTGAACTGGGTAGGGGCGGCAAGAGTATGAGAGAAAAAGAGCAGAAGATAGAAGCGGTCAAATTGTATAGTCTTCTTTCTTAATTTAGCAGACTGTGGGTGTATTTTGAGGTCCACCCTGCTCTCCTATTTATAGCCTTAAAGAAAGGATCTCATAATCTTATTAGAAGTTTCCTAATCAAAATCTTTTATTTAGATCTTGACTCTCTTTAAGAGAAACTGATAATCCCTTATCTTATTTACAGATAAAGATCAGCATTCCTAATCAAATTAGGAGTTTCTTGATCCAAATCTTTATTTGGATATAGACTCTTTAAGTGGATAGGGATAATCTCTTATCCTATCTGTTGATCCAAATCCCAAAATTACCCCCTATTTAATTAATCTCATTAAGTCAGTTCGAATGGGTTTTAGGCCCATTAAGTCTATGTACTCACTTATCCTCCAAACTGCTGCCCAATTGACTATCCTTGTATGGCGTGGAACCCAAACATTGATCTACACATCAGCCACATGGATTCAACACAGCCTTTGTTACAAGGCCTGACCGAATTCACTGTAGGCGACAATGAATCCCTGAGTCCATTACCATGGGCTCTTAATGGGCCCAACATTTACACTAAATGGTCATTSRGTCMARCCACCTTATRAAAACCMAAGGACTGTGGGCAGATGCAAGATTAGCCCATCAGGTATTACCCTCAATGGTCTTACACTTAACCTTTCAGCCCATAATGATCAAACACTGCTTGACAAGAGAAGACCTTTCCCTTGGCTGCAAGGTGCAGTGCTGCACTTTCTACTCACATGGATTCTGAGAATTCAAACCTTTTGCAAATATTTTGAAATATATATATACTTTATATAAATATGTTTTGCAAAACAAATTTCAATAGTTAAAATCAACTGTCGGAAGTTTAGGTTTCCATTAGAGGGAGTGCATCCCTGATCATTCACTTTGTCCAACAAAGGGGCTGATCCTATCATTATGATCACCCACTCAGATGAATTCTCGGACTGTCCCAACATACCCAGGTTTTGACCCCCTCTAAGGATCTCACTGATTGGCATATCAAAGACAGCCTAGTACGACACATAGTGCAGTATCATAATCGAATCTAGGGGTCAGGTGTAACATTCTAGTTTTGCCCATCTGTCTCCAAGGTCCAGGGCAATACTAGAATTTTGGTCCAATTCAGGGTTTCAAGAAAACCCACACTGCATGTATGTCAGGTCTCACCCTAGTAGGTAAGACAAGCCAAGCCAACCAACTTGGCGGCACATCAGTGTTAGCCTTGGTAGGATAAATTTCCCCAGATCTATCCAACAACTATAAATATTCTAAACTAACACAAGTCTCATAAGTGTCCAGTTTAAGGGTATTACATAAAAACACACCACAATGACATGAATCAATTATATACTTTATTCATTTACAATA